ACTATCCCATAATTCACAGTAAAATTTAAATTCATAAATCAAAACCTAATCAGAACCAGAACAATCAAACGTAATATCCATGTGAAAAGGTATCATAGAATAGCGGAAGTACAGCACTTAAATACCAGTATAATGATAATATTGACTCATTGAAGTGCAAGATATTGACTCTTACGTTGCTTCCGATGCTTGCTTTTAGGTGGCCTTCCGACATCAGATGCCAAAATTGCTTCTTTTAAGCTTGCTTCTTTCAGTTTGTGGAAAACTTGGGACTTTGAGTCCAAAATTGGGGGCTTGGAGTCCATTTTAGCTGTAGAGGAACCATTCCATGAATATAAGAAGCAAAATTCTTTGACACACCACTTACAATTTGATACTATTTCTATAAAACCTTCAAAAATCTCAGTTAAAACAATAATTTTTCTATCCATACAAGTTAATGATCATATAGACACGAGAAATCAAAAACAAAACTTTACTGAGGAATGGAACAAGAAGCATAAGGGAAGTGATAAATTGATGTGTCTATACTTATGTATATATAACAGAGCATATAAGCATTATATGTATGTTCCACATTACACGTTTCAAGTCTCCAGCCTCACCTAGAAAAAACATTCTCAGTCCAAAAGCTGTCAAAGATAATGACAGTAGTGCAGTGAGAAGTAACGACGATTCTGAAAGTCTCTGTTTAGTAAAACGACCAAACCTTCTATTTCGACGAAAGACCCGAGATCCATGATCAGTGAAGAATTCACCATTGTTCCTATATTGCGCCATTGCAGAGCAAGTCCCACAATTCAGATGTGGACAGCGTCATCTGCAAAAATATTTCCATGTTTTCACTTTCACCACAAGAGGATGACAAGCAACTCAAAAACTAATCATCTCACCAGTGCATCACCATATCCAACTTCCAAACTGAAACATGTACAAGTCCCTATATGCTTATGTAATTAATGTTTATGCATGTATCAAATTTGACAGTCTTGACTACATAGACTCAAGTGCTCAAGTTAGAACAACCAATAGTTGGCAGACGGATGTATTCAGCATCACTACTATAATGATATTTTATAATCAATATTACCATATGAAGCTGAGGAAGTGTATTCCGTCATTCTACTCTATGAGTATGAAAGGCATGGCATTCATTGAAAATGCCACTTCCAAATAGGAAAGAAAATAAAGAGTGAAAGGGGTGCAATCACCCTTCAAAACTCATTATGGATTATCAATTGAGATAACAAACATGAAGATAAAGCATAGACATACGAACGACCTTCAGAAAGTGAACTGCATCACTTCTGGCCGCGAGTAAGGGAAAGAAAAAGTGAATTACAAAGTTCAGAAGGAGAAATGAAGAGATGGAAATGACATAGGAATCAATAAACCAGCAATGTTTCACAGAATATTTTCCAAAATGAGGTGTTTAAACACGAAAAAAAATCAAGTGCCAGCAAGACCATGCTAAGAGAAATCTAAAACTCCGTGTCTGGTAATACCTCATCGAAGAGCAGACCGGAGGCGGGATAATGATGGGGTGAGTGAAGGATCTAACATGGGTAATATACACCGACGGAATCTTCCTCACAAAGTAGGATAAATCAAGCAAAAGTGGGTAAATCTTTAGGCAGCCAAACTGGTGTGGTCCTTTACCAAGATCCGCACTGCACTGCTGATTCCCAAGCCTAGGCGTTTCGCAGACAGAATTGAGCAAAAGGTTTAATTTTTCATTTTTAATGACAATTTGGTTCACTTGCTTCAAGATCTTTGCTTTTGGACACCGACAGATAAAAGCTGCCTTAAACAGCGTTTTTGTGGGCACCCGGTGATTGCCGTAATGTCGCTACGATCAATGAAAATGATTATGCCTTCTGGTTTTGGCGTCGCGTACCCTTCAGCTATGTTATGTCGTCAAATCAAATCAAAAAGCGGATGCAACTTGTGTTAAAAACAAGCGCAAAAAAGAAGAAGAAGAAGAAGAAGAAGAAAATAAAAAAGGAAACATTCCGTTAGATGCTAATCGTCATCCCTATCAGACCGTCAGGGTTAGGCTCGTTATTAGCAGTTAAACATGAGTCTCCGAGTAACCCACTCGGCTTTTCTTTCATATCTTCCTGAGCCTTCCTTAGCAAGAGAAAACATTGGGCTTATGGCAATTAGTAGCGAGAAAATATATTTGGAAAAAATTGATTTATAACTATGATTTTAAGAATAAATTTGAAAAAAAAAATTCTGGGTGGAACTGAAAAGAAAAATTAAAACCACGGTTTTCTCCAAAAAAAAAAAGAAAAAAGAAAAAAAGGAAAATTCAAACACCCCTTATACATATCAAAATTAGTTATAAATCTAAGATCATGATTACAATCAATTATGAAGTCAACATTTTTATAAACTTTACTTTATCTAACGCTAACTCAAATTAAAACATGGTTGGTAGTCTCGTAATTAATTTTAATTAAAATATTATATACCAATATTACGCTTATTATTGTTAGGTTTTTAATAATTAGATAATCTCAAATTAGATCTTATTAATATAAAAAAAAAATCAAAGGAGTATCATGGGTATTTCGAATGGCTCAAAATATGGGAAGACTTGTTTTCATAAGTTAATAATAGTACATCCTTCCTTAATATTAAGAGTCGGTTGATTAATTTACGTAAATCAAACAAATTAGTTAAATTAGTTATTTGTAATAAATATGCATTATTTTTTTTAAAATATTTTTTAATCAAATATATCAGTACAACAACTATAATGATTATTTTAAAAAAATATGAATATGAAAAATAAAATATATTAGTGTCTTATATTTAAAACAAAATTAAATATTAAATTAGTTTTTATATTAAAGACATAGTATATATTTATATGTTTTTGTATTACATGGAGCATAAAAAGTATTTTGGCCACGTCAACAAATAACCTTTTTTTGTTTCCTCCGCCTTCATGAGTCAAGGCGGAGGATGAGTTATAATGCAGCTATAATTTGATAAAGTCCGAACAAATTTAGCTAATCTGAATCAGATTTACGTCATTATTATAATTAGAAATGATTTTCAAAAGTCTATCTTTTTTTTTGAGCAAATTCAAAAGTCTATCAATCAACTTATAGTTTAATAGTACAAAAACTTTTCAGTCAATAGAAAATTATGGGTTTGCTCTCATTTATTAATACTTGCCTCTTTAAATTTTTTTTTTTAAAGCCTCTACTCCACTAAAATATATTATAGAATTTGACATTTGATATATTATAATGCAGATTATTGAAATACTAGCTTCGGTCTTAATTATAAGAGCTAGTTGACTAATTTAAGAAGATTAAGAAAAAAATTAAGTTAGTTATTTGTAATAAATATGTATTATTTTTCCTAAAATATCCTTGCTAATCAAGTACTCCTCCGGTCCTTAATATAAGACCCATTTAACTAATTTGATTAGATTAAGGAAGTTAGGTAAGTTAGTTAATTATAAGAAATATGACACATTTTTCTTAAAACACCACAATCATCTTTCTTAATACCTCATCTCCCTCTTTTACTTGATTATGGTTGAGAGAGTATCTATAGGGGTAATTTAGAGAAAATTGATAAATATGATAAATGGGTCTTATATTTAGGACCAAAACCAACTCAAGAATTGGGTCCTATATTAAGGACCGGAGGAGTATATTGGTTATAGCTACCATTGCTAAAAGGACTATCTTGAAAAAAAATACATAAATATGAGAGACAAAGTGAATTGAGATTTTATATTTAGGACTAAAATAAAAATTAAACAATGTCTTATACTCCTCCGGTCCTAATTATAAGACCCAATTGACTTATTTGAGGAGATTAAGGAAGTAAGTTAAGTTGGTTATTTATAATAAATAAGTGTTGTCATTCCTAAAATATCCTTGCTAATTAAGTATATTAGCTAAAACTATCATTATTAGAAGGATTATTTTGGAAAAAAATGCATAAATATAAGTAACAAAATGGATTGGGGTCTTATAATTAGGACCAAATAAAAAGTCAAATGGAGTCTTATAATAAGAACCGGAGGAGTATTAATGATGGGAGGTAGTATTAAAGAGCCTCCTTGAAATTGCTGCTAATAATTGAACACCGGGGGAAAAAGACAACGTCCATGGCGTCAAATAAGATGTCTTAAATTAATTGCCATATGTTCACTTTTATTAATTATTTAATTTAATACTTATACCGTCATTAATATAAAATTTAATTATTAAGTTGACTTTTAGTCCTAGATAGTAGTATAAGATTTAGTTGTTATATTTATCATTTTTTTTAAATTATCTCTATTGATATTCTCTTAATTATAACCAAGTAGAAAAGAGAGGTAGAGAATTAAGAAAAATGATTATGGTGTTTTAGGAAAAATATGTCATATTTATTATAATTAACTAATTTATTTAATTTTTTTAATATAATCAAATTAGTTAGGTAGGTTTTGCATTAAGAGTTGGAACTCGACGGAGTCGAATGATTAAAGGATGGGGTGGTTATGCTAAAAAAACAACAACAACAAAAATTGCGTGGGTTTATCGTCAATTATACAAAGTTAAGAAGCTTACATCCAACTTACCTAAAATTTAAGTGAGGTATACGTTTTCTAGGCTATAATTAAGTAAAGAGTACTTTTCTTTTCTTTTCTTTTTTTTTCTTTTTAGCAATTATGGCGGGGAAATAAAGCAGTTAAAGAATACATCAAATATAAACTTGATGCATAATAAAGTTTTTATTTTTATTTTATTATTTCATTATAATCGGTTCCATTAAAAATTAAAGAATTTCTTATTTAAAATATTTTTTTTAAATTTTATTCCATTTCGTTTATCAAATGAGCTGGGACTTTTAAAATAAACAAAGCAGTTAAAGTGAAACGCAAAGTCGAAAACGAAACGAAACGAAACGAGGCCGTATCATCGTCAAACTCAAATGCAAAACCCACCTGAGTCAGGGAACAAAAACAGGCATTACGCAGGCCACTGCGGTCGCCAGTCGCCTTTGCAAGAAGTGGCGGAACGATGGCTACGGAGCTTGAGGAGCTTATAGGCTTTCTGTCTTCTCCGTCACCTCAAGTAAAGTTTCTTACTTTCACTTTTTGCCTCTTCCCTGCGAAATTGTGGGAGTTCTACGACAAAACGCTTGGAAATTTTATTTTATTTTATTATTTTTTTTCCAGTGTTCTTACATCACAATAATTTAGTTCCAGCAAAATCAATTACGTGATAACCATTTGAATATAGTACTGGCTTCCTAGCCAAGTGGATTTGACTTGCACTAGCTTTCTTCAGGAGTGCACTCTGTAATCTGTGTTCAGCTTGAAACATCCTCCCGAGTCCTTTATTTATGTAACAATCCGCTGAATTTGATTGCAAACCAAACATTCAAACAGATGCGTTGAGCTACTCAAATTCGTACCTGGGAGGTGGATTCCTGTCTATCCTTGTTCCTGAGTCGAATAATCAAACTTCAAAAGATCCTTTTGTTAATAGTATCTTTATGATGGGAGTGACTTCATTTTGAACGAGCTATGTCTTTGGTTATGTCACCTTATTGACATATTGTCCTGTTTGATTCACATGCAGCAACCTTCAAGATTTGGTGTATGTGAATATGTTACTACTGCAGGACAGGACTCTTTTTTTTTTTTTTATATTTAAATGGTGTCGAATTCTATTGAAGCATGCCTTTTTCACTTACAGATAACGAAGGTCGCTGTTGATATAGTTCGTGGACTAACTGGCTCTGATGATGGCTTGCAATCCTTGGCTAAATATGCGAAGACAGTGCTACCATCATTATCTCGACTCTTGGCTGGTCCGAAGGTGCTTCTGAAATCTACTTTCACGTCGGAAAAGAGAATCAATTTTACATGTATTGTTCTTAAATTTTTCGGCGTTTCCAAATCTGAATGCAAAAGAATGAAGAACTCAAACTGTTTCTTTAGTCCCAAAGAACTCAGTTAAATGCTTATACAAAACCATGAATTATTTTGGTGTTTCAAGATTGTTCATTTAGTCTTAGATATAGGAATAGATCAGATAACTAAATTTTTGGGAAATTTTTATGTTATTCTCCATGGGCAAATTCACAATTTGGGGTAGCATTTGTTCGAGGCGTAGTTATGTATTAACAGATTTGCTATGCCCTTCCAGGAGGTTTCTGAACCTTCAGCTGAAGCACTTGTTAATTTATCTCAAAACTCAAATCTAGCAGCAGAGATGGTTCAATTGGGAATGATCAAAACTGCGATGGATGTTTTATACAAGCCAGAGTGTATCATTACTCGCTTGCTTGTCATGCTTTTGGTTAATCTAACGCAGTTAGATGCTGGTAGTGCTTCCTTGCTCCAGGTTTGTTTTCTCATTGCAATCTGTGATCACTACGTATTTTTGTAATGTGACTTTAAAATTATTTTTTTTCAATCTGCGAATGTCATCTGTGCATGAGGTGACATCTGAAATGTTGGGGCATTACTATGTTATTAGAATTGGTGAAATGGCCACTGCTGTCATTATACAGAAGGTGGCATCCTTTTTTTCCCCCCTTTTTATTAATATTATGGAAATACCAATTATTGATTCTTGGCTGGTTGTCAGACTGGTGATGATAAGGTGCATGGACTATATGTGATGAAGCTTGTCAGGTCATTTTGTAGAACCACCCATGAAAGTCATGGTGCGTCCCTCCAAACTCAATGTGAATTTGACCTTCTGCAGAATTTATACAGAATTCTTTTGTCCGGATTTTTGAAATTCATTTGGCCAATTCACTAATAAGCAAAGGCAGAGAATCTCTGAAGTACAAGCCATAATCATCAAAGACGTGCCTAATCCTCCTATGCTACGTCCATAAATAAGAAATTGAAAAAAAAAAAAAAAAAAAACTACTTGCCTACCCATTAACAGAGAGTGGTTTCATGCCATGCATCCATTATGCCTAGTACATGATGTAACTGTTATGATTCTTCAGTTGTTCGCATACTGTTGCTCTGGTTCAATGATTTTTTCTGCTAATTTTTGATAGATGATCCTTTTGAACATGTTGGATCAATACTTGTTAATATCTCAAAGCAGCAAGCAGGAAGGAAGCTTCTGCTTGATTCAAAGAGAGGTCTCTTAAAGCAGATGATTAGACAATTTGATTCAAACAGCTTATTGAGAAAGAAAGGGGTATGTGCAGTAACTTACTGTACATTTGTGATTTTCAATCTCATGCGCTGCTAGCATAGCTTGATATTAGTTCGCGTTTGTTATAAAGTTTTTTGTTCCATCTTGCTCTATTTTCTTACATACTCTTGAAAGAAGTGACAAATCAATTTAGAGTTTGCCAAGTTATTTTGATTTTTCAATGGCTTGATGCTCAGTTAGTCATATAAAATCACATACTAATGCTGTTGTTTAGCATGGCATACATAACAGAAGCTTATGGTTCCAAAACTAGTAATCTCTGAACTGAGTGAATGGAGTCAAACTGATTCATGTTCTTGATTGGCTCACGTTGAATGATGAATTATCTCTTTTATAGATTGTTGCGTGTTAATTATGCTCTCTCCGTAACCGCAGTATTGTTTGTCATGATTACTCTAACTTACTAAAACTCAACGGTTGACTGCATTTGGGCAGGGCTTTTGGCTCAACTGAGATTGTTGTTATGTTTGATTGCTTGCAGGTCTTTGGAACTTTACGCAACTGTTGTTTTGAAGCTGAAAGTCAGCTACAAAATTTACTTTTGATATCTGAGTTTCTCTGGCCAGCATTACTTCTTCCAGTGGCTGGCCATAAGGTTATATGCTGTACCTTCTCTGACCTTAAATTGTTGGCATTTCTAATTATTGCCAAATAAGATTCCTTCTGGCTAAGCCAAAAGATTCTTAACTGCTTAAAAATGAATGAGCCTAATTCATTAATTTTTCCAGAATGGAAATAATTTTGCTTACCTGATATCTATCCATGGCCCTGTAATTCATTATAAGACATGAATTCTCTTTTGAAAGGCATGAAAGAGCTCAATCTTGTGAATATCTAGGGCCGTCATTGCTATCTAGAATGATAATATGTTTAATAAAGAAAAAAGGAAGAGAATGCTTTCTAAAGAATCTTGCCATAATAAAGTTAAAATTTCTTAAATCATGTGAAAAATATCCTTGCTAAGAGGGTGCCAGCTTGTTTTGCCGACTTGCAATCAGATTCAAGTGGTCTTTGTGTTAGTCTTCATATCCATGCCCCTCCCCACGTTTCAGGCATTATTCCGGAGCTATCTATGGTTTGGTTTACTTAGTTTGTGTCTTAGTCTCTTCCATTAACAAAGTAATTGTTTTGCAGTTATATAGTGAGCAAGACACATCAAAGATGCCACTTGAACTTGGGACTGCCCTCTCAATTGAGCGTGAACCCGTTACTGATGCTGAAATTCGTATTCAAGCATTGGAAGCCATATACTTGATTGTATTGCAGGTAAATTTGATACACACACGCGCACACATACCAAATGTAGGCTTGAACACTGTTGATACTGAACAGTCAACAGAGATTTGAATCTCAGTACTGTCTGTGGATTTAAAAGTCGGAAGCAAAAATCTTTAGTAGTTCCTTTTGCTGTAAGAAGGGAATATTTCTATCATATGCTTAGAGCCAGTATGTTAATGAACCTACTTATTTCGAATACCTCACCATGAAAACCTCTGGCTTCTCCCTCTTGGACAGGGTTTGAGCATTGGAGATTGTAAAAGCTGTATATTATATAATTTGCATGCCTGTAGGTAATCCTAGGGAAACCATTAGAAAGCAAGAGATAGGGATGCAATCTACATCACCCCATAGCACATATCACAGAGAAGGAGAGAGACGGAGTTTCTAAAGCTACTATGAGGCATGAGGGTGTGATAAAATTAAGATGTCGAAGAAAATCATACTAGTAATCCTTTTAAAGCTCCCATGTTAAATTATTAACGAGTAATAGTTTATAGTAATAAAATCTCCTCCTTGTGATATGAGACAAGCCTAGTACGGAAGGGTTCTAGGTTGAGATTTCTATCTAATAGGCTTTGATGTATTCCAACCTATCATGAAATACATACAATTAACCAGGGTCCAATACGTTTTGGGCTTAATATTCAATACAATAACTATTGACTTAAATATATAATTGTACCCTCAATTAATTAATGCTAACCCATGATTAATTGATTTATAAAATTTTCCGTTTCTGCACTTAGTTTTTGTGATGCTTTGATTATTTGTTATAGCTAGGATCTTCATATAGCTGGTAGGAAGATCAGTGTCTTCCCTCTCCATTGTTCTTGTATTCGCATTTGCTTGGTGTAAACAAGATTTAGCATGCTCATCAATTTTCTCTTGAATAAATGCTTGTCAATTTTCTCTTGAATAAAATGTTAGCTAAACAAACTTGCTGGCCCAAAAAAAAAAAAAAAACTGATGAACATTCTCTTTGGGAATGCGTCTGATATGTTTCCATGTCATAATGTGGATTCGTGGTTTGGCATATAAGCTAGCAAAAGATTGCACATTTTTCTCCCTTTCTGGGCGCTACAGGCACGCCCCTGATTGCCTCCGGAATGCTATTGTAATCTTGCAGGAGACAGGTCGAAGAGCGTTTTGGTCTGTAAATGGACCAAGGATAATACAAGTTGGTTATGAAGATGAGCAAGATCCAAAAGTAATGGAAGCGTACGAGCAACTTGGATCCTTGGTAATGTCCCCAAATGTTCAAGTCTTCTTTAACCTAATCCCCTTCTTTCTCTTACTGTTTCTTTCTTTTTGAGCAAATTCCTCTTACTGTTATTAGTACGTATAATAACTCTGAATTTGTGCGCCAGCTAATTCAAAGCGGAGGAACAGAAGAAGAATCATCCAGTGAGAGTACAAAGCAGTGATGCTTTTGCACCCAAAAAAAAAAAAAAAGGCAGTGACACTTTGGTGTTACCTTCTCTCGGCTAAGTATTTCAGAAAGAAATCTATGCTGCAAAAGTTCATTATAAGCTGAAATTTCCATTTTTGATGCTAGAAATGCTACTTTTAGAGTTTCATAGATTATGTGGCTTAGATGTATGCAAGTTGTAGAATGAGTGGAAGATAGTTTTTGCGTATGCGGAGTCTTATTTTTCATCTCTGATACATATCACGCATTAGGGATTTTCCTCAGATCACGCATAATCAGGAGTTCTGGATGCTGATGATTCTTTGATGGAGTGCATTTTTCGTTATCCTAACTATTTACCTTGTACCATGTCCTTTCCTCATCATCAGTGGAAAGAGGGACTAAATCCTAGATTTATGGGGAGTGATTTCTAAAGAATCAAACTAGAAGGACTAATTCCCAAATTGAGGGAAAGTAGTAGGACTGAAAGTTCTATTTTTCTATTATATGAAATCAATAAAATCTTATTGGATTATTTGATTTGTTTATAACATTTATATCGTGGAGTTTAAAAAGTTAAAAGGCAGTTTTTGCCCTTAAACTGTTTTCTCAAGAATATTGGGTAAACTAAACAAGTGGTGTAATGTTCTTATGAAGTATGTTGCAATTTTGTGCATCAACACCCAAGTTGGTGGATTTCACAAATGCTAAATACTTAAATCAATAATTTTCTTTATTGAGAAAATTGTGTTGCATAATTATTTGGATAAAAGTCTTATTCATTCACCAAGTAATACTTCAATTATATAATTTTCTCTTTTGCCTTTAAAATATACTCAAACTTCTTTGAAATTAAGTTTTCTTAATTCAAAATTCAAAATTATATGTATAATTTTTATTTCAATGAATTGATGGCTTATTCAGGGTTAGATATGTGTGGCTAATAATTGTTTTGTTCAGCATTTTTTAATTAGCAGCCACATATTGGGATCGAGTAACTCAATCATTGTTTTTGGTTGTCAAAAGTTGTAATCATATCATTGGTTTTGGTTTAATGATAAGCTTATCTGTTAGGATATGTTATTTAGCTTAACTTGGAATAAAGTATCAACCATCCTTCAAATTATAATAATGCACAATTATTTTCATTTCATTTTATTCTGTGTTTGGGCAATTTGAGGTGATACTTATAAAACATGGTGAGATTTTGATGATAAAAATTATGCAATTTCTTCTTTATCATTAAAATTTAAAGATTGTCCAGTTTGATTGGAAATTTTTCGAAAGCAATATTATTACCCATAATTTTATTTTAGGAAAAAAAAATCCTTCCCAAATGACCTATTTGGCAGCTATTAATTAGATGTATAACATTTTCCTATAGGTGTGTGTGTATAAAATGATTTTAGCCACTTGAAATCCGTTGCCCATCAAAATAATGCCTTGTAAGTGTAACGAGAAGTTTGGATATAAACACTTCGTTGCCATCTATTTTGGGCATAAACATATGATCATATTTTTACAAAAGGAAAAAGAAAAAAGAAACATGGGATGATATATATTACCTCCAATCTTTAATAGAAGAACTCGTTTAACTTTTATTTTAGTTCTAAATATAACTCACTAATCTACTTTGTCTTTCATATTTATCTATTTCTTTTCAAGATAGTTTTTGTAATAATAGTAAATAGTAATTTTAATCCTTTAGGAAAGATGACATTTATTTATTATAAATAACTAATTTAATCAATTTTTTAATTCTAATTAGTTAACTAACTCTTATATTAAGGACTGAAAGTCGTATAAGTTTTAATTAAGTCACAAATAAATAATTGTTAATATCAATTCTTTCTTTAAAACTGTATATTCTATAAAGTTATGTATTAACCGATAGCGATATCATGGCATAAGGACTGCATCCCTATCCTAGATATAATATATAAATAGCTAAATTTTGTAGATAAAAAAATTAATTAAGATAGGTTAAAAAAATTAGTTAAAATGTCAGATATTTTTTAAGTTTATCTTCCAAATAGGACTAAGTCAACCTGAAAAATTATATCTTATAATATTATAAACTTGGAAGGAATATTCGTAAATTATAATATAATAATTTCTTTTGGCCCCAATCATATTTAAATAATCCAAATATCAGTTTGCTCAAAGAATTCTGACTTGCCCAACGTGGTATCTGACGTGGCATCTCCGGTGTCAAACGCGACGTCCAAGAGCGGACAATGCTTCACGCTCACGTTGAACCCAACTGAATAATATTCAAATTTTCAAATGTTGGTTGGCGATTAATTTTTTCAAATATTTGCCCGGTCAAAGTCGGTGTCGTTTCCCCTTTTACGATTTTTCCAAGGCTTTGAAACGACCGCGTCGCCATCTTTCTCCGGCTTTTGAACTTCGATCCTCTGTCGCCGTCTACACCTCTATCAACGCCTCCGCCCGATCGCCACCGTCCATTGCTTTGCCTTACGCCTGATTACTTCATTCTTTTCCGATTTCGTCTCGTGGTGCGACACGTAGCAGGTGCTCGATAAAACACGTAGGCTAACGTACTCGCAATTTATAGTGATTTTTTCGTTGCGTTCGGCTTCGTCTTCCTTCTGTAATCCTCCCTTCTCTCTTCGGATTCCGATCACCTTTGGAATCTTCCGTGTGTGGGGAGCCCTAACTCTATATGGTCCCGAGCCACTGTTTAATGTATAAATCCAGTTTTATTGTTATTTGGTTTGCCAATTAATTATAAGGTGGGAGAGTCTGTTTTCGGGGTTAGGGTTTATTTATATTTTCTGTTTTTTCCTCCGTGAACTCTTTTATGGTTTCATGTGAATTCTTGAGACTGGTTAGATTCTGAGTTCTTTTTTTATTTATTTTCCGAGAGATGGATATGGGGATTTCCGATGAATTGTTGGGAACCTTTGCCCCAATTTTCGTTTATTGGATTTATTCTGGAATTTATGTTGTTCTCGGATTATTTTCCGAGAATTATCGATTACACTCGAAGAAGGATGAAGATGAAAAGAATTTGGTATCCAAGTTCTCGGTGGTGAAAGGGGTTCTTCTCCAACAAGTAGTTCAGGCTGTTGTGGCAATACTCCTGTTTGCTGTAAGTGATCGAAATTTTCTTTATGATTTTTTTTATAGATGCAAACTATGTCTGATGTTGATGCTAACTCTTATGCCTGTTTATCTGAATCCTGATTTTTTTTTTTTTATAGGTTTTATATTTGGGATGTAGTTTTGAATTTTATCATATGGGAATCCTGTTCGTGTTTATTGTATGCTACTTAATATGGGTTAATCAGAGAAATTTCACTGTCGTCATAGTCTCCCTAATGGGTGACAGAAATTTAGGATCGTTGTCGTATCTGTTTAATAAAAAACATAAAGGAACCTTTTTTCTCGCTAAAAGCAAAAGATGACAAGCTAGAGAAGTTTTCGTTATTGTTATCTCCCACGCAAATTGTTGATTGATTTCCCACTTCGAAACGGATCCCTTTACGTTTCATTTATCCATTATTTCCTCTCTGAGAATGCTTAAAATTGTGATTGCACTTTGTTGTTAAGTGGTTCTTTTATAGATTGTTTGGAGGTGTTTTCTTGCTCACTGAGCAACGCATCTTGTTGAAAAATCACCTCAAAATAACGAAGAACCCTATTTCAGTGACCCTATGAATAGTTTTGCTTTAACTCTTGAGAATATTTTGACTCTGGTGTATTCTTTTTTTCTGGAACTTAACAATTATAACAGAAAGAATAGTTTGTAAGTTTTGTGGATGACAAATAATCAAGTATTACTAATGCATTACATCAGGAATGGATTTTTTTTTGGGGCCAAATACATCAGGAATGGTTTTTTTTTTTTTTTGGGCCATATACATCAGGGGTTTGATCTGCTAATGGTTAATGTTCAACAAGAAAGGTGCCTATGGGGACTTGATGAAGTTGATTAGGATTAATGATTATCGCAAGGCTAAGTGATAAGAATTTTGAAATCTTGTAAGAGTCCATAGTGAATCCATCCTAGATGAATACTATATTAGTGAACATACGGGCTCTTTTGTGTATCTCAAGAAACAAGTGAATAAATTTCCGGATGAAATTTGTCATGAGACTTATTTAGACAACAGTCCGTGTTTAGCTAATGCAAATTCATGGCAATTCACCACTTGAAAGCTTGGGCAGAGCCAATGATATGTTTCCTTTCCATTATCACATAGCCCTGGTGCTTCTGGCAAAGTGGCAACGGAAACTGCAGAAGTGATTGTCTTTTCCTTTATAATTCCTAGCAATACTGTCTTTTTTTCTTAAGTACATGTTAACTAGTGTAACTATAAATTGGCAAAATTTTGTTAGGATCTGACTTATTAAATCATAGTTACCTCTTTTGTTACTGTGTAGGTCACTGGCGGGAATGGTGGTGATGAGGGAACTGCTACTGTTGAAAATGCTTCCATCCTTGTATTAGTGAGACAGTTTGTTACTGCCATGTTGGTTATGGACACTTGGCAATACTTTATGCACAGATACATGCATCACAACAAGTTCTTATACAAGCATATCCACTCTCAACATCACAGACTTGTTGTTCCCTATGCATATGGAGCTCTTTACAATCACCCAGTAGAGGGGCTTCTTCTAGATACTGTGGGCGGAGCTATGTCTTTTCTTATTTCTGGCATGAGCCCACGGGTCTCCATCTTCTTCTTCTCCTTTGCCACAATTAAAACTGTGGATGACCACTGTGGATTATGGCTTCCTGGGAACCTTTTCCATATATTTTTTAAAAATAATTCAGCTTACCACGACGTGCACCATCAGCTATACGGCACTAAGTACAACTTCTCACAGCCATTCTTTGTTATGTGGGATCGAATCTTGGGTACCTACATGCCTTACTCATTGGAGAAGAGGAAAGGTGGAGGTTTTGAAGCTAGACCTTCTAAAGAGTTCAAGGATGACTGATCTTTTTGTTTGATGAGAGCATTCTTTGTCTGTAGTAGTAGTATTTTTACTCATGATGAGCCGCACTACCAACCTGATCTGTCTGATCTGTATATATACATATATGCTTCTGTGCTCAATCTCTTGGCTTTATTTATGTCCATATCAGATTGCCTTTTAATAAGGAAATTGTGGATCTCTACCTCTGGTGGTTTTTTATACCCTTTCATTGCTGTCTTCAGTGCACCCTGTTGTCTTGCTTCTATCAACTCGTATTTTTCATCTACGGAATTATTCGTTTGTTCTGCCCACCTATATCTCTGGTTCTGCGTGCCAGAAAGTTCACTTCATGCTGATCTTTAACCATAAACTTAGTCTTTTATTCCATCTTCCATTATATTTCAGTAGTTGGTCAGGGAAAAATGCTCAAGCGAATCATTTGAGAATCCAAGGCATAATTCAGTTATGTACAATATACTGCAATTAAGAGGGTTTTGAATAGCATGTGACTGATAGACTAATAAAGATTTTATCTTGTTCGTGCTAACTTTTGAAGCCACAAATATGGGACTTATCTTAAATTTCTAATTATCAAGTCTCAATAGTGAACGCTGGACTTCGAACATCCTTGTGGTTAGTTATCTGAGTCGTTGAAGTAGTTATCTTTTCTGACGCTACTGTTAGTAATTGCTTTTTCTGATGTTATTTTTAGCAGTCATATTTTTTTTACGCTACTGTTATTGATAGGGGCCTGACTGATCTGATATTCATCTAAATCAAAATTCTAAAAGCCCTCAAAGATATGCGGCAAGAATTCCCAATTCGGTCGTATTCAAAATATTCATATCCTAACTTTGAACAAATATACCATAATCACTTTCGTGCCTCGTGATGAAGATATTGGACACAGTTTAGAGGTTGTGCTTCGTTCTACTCAAAGGCCTTGGGGAAAGAGAAAAGCCATCATGTCCTAAGTGGTCCATGAAATGTGTGCAAAGCTTATCCTTCAGTCAATGATGGTGCAGACTGCAGACGGGCATATCACACCGAAACCATTATAGTGACAGACTAACGCTAAATATTCTGATGTTAGACGCGACCATTAATATGTTAATTTGCACCACATATAACTGGACCTGTTAACATCTTTAGAATGACATTCTATTTTGTAACAGATAATAGACAGATAGCAAGTGTTCTTTATGTGGACTTGATAGCTTGCCTGCTTTAGCTTTCTCCCTAGTAAAAAATATGGATCCAGATTCTTTGAATTTTGCCTCTCTCAAGTTCCATTAAATTATTTTTCTACAAGTTGCAGATATCCTGGACTCTTTATGCAAGTGTCATTACTTGGTAGTTTTGTAGTCATTATCTGTAGGAGGCTCTATAAGGTTACAGGTATTAAGTCATGAGTTAAATAACCACTAATCGATGAAGTGAAGAATCGGAATAGGAGCTTCTAATGATTTGGGTTTATCAGCTTCCAAAAATGTCAGGTGATTTTATTTTACATTTTCTTACATACTTCTTGATAGATTTCTGCAATATTATTGACTGCGACATAAGAATAATGATAAGCTAGATGGATGGACCACCATATTTATTAGGTGGTTCTGATATTGAATATGCCTGGCTTCATTCCTTGGTGAGCATTTTGCCGTCGCTGTTGCTTGTTGCATGTCACTATAAGGACATTCTCAAGGCTTGAAATTCTCTATTAATCAGTTGTGATGAATAAACCTCTCATAATTACACTTTATTTATGTCGAGGACTTGAGGCGTGCTTAAGCTTCTATGAAATCTCCCACTGAAAATGGAAAAAATAATTAACTAATTGTGAAAGAAGAGCAAACATGTAGAGCAACACTTTATTAACAGTGCAAGGGATGCATCCTCTTACTGTGAAATGGTTAAATTTCATTGTACTTGAAGGATGGTTAACTTTATAGTCAACCGTTTTGTGCCTCTTTTCTTTTTGGTTTGGTTGGATGCATTATTTTCAACAGCCAACAGCACTGGGGAAAAATACACATGGAAAAGGTAGATCTTTTGTCATTTGCAGGTGGTCCTTCTGCGAGAAGTATCATCAAAAGTTAAAGGAAGACAATTGCACTTTCCAAAATGTAATGGCTATATCAGATACATCCAGCTTTATAAATAAAAACAAAAAGCTATGCAACAAGCAAACACTGAATTAGGGATAACTGAAAAAGGGTCAAGCTTGGACAATACGAGGTTCCATTTCACACCTTCTCTATGGTAATATGAGTCCATATGCATCCTTCCAAAATGATTCACTTCATCTTGTTTGTAAGCCAGATACAGCAAATACTGATGGGCAATAAATATATATCGTTGCAAACAAAATAGTATTACAAGGTTTTAAGAGGAAGATACATGAGACACCTGGGCCGAGAGCCAATAATTATTTTGGTAAATAGATTTGGAACTCAGAGGCACAAACTGAGTCCAAACTTCTGGTAAATTCGAACTACTGCTAAATGTACAGGGGTTGAGAAACGTGTGTTGAGTACGAACGTTGAAGTGGGGGTCTGCCATAAGCATGTTGCCCATGAATTGCACCAAAATTCCCCATCTTTGGATCTGCCTTAAACCTTGTTACCTGAGCCAAGGTATCCGACCTCCGACGAACTAGTGGGCTATGATTAGGTTTCTCATAGGTTATGAAGGCATCCCCAGCCACCTTCACAGCCTTGTAACTCTTGCAGCCCAAGAACGTACTAGAATGTCTCCTCTGTTTTGTATCTCTCGGCTGGCTTTTGTTGTTACAGCCGATGACGTATATGCAGCTTTTGTCGGTATGGTTGCTACTGCCCTTTGTTCTTCACCGTCTGACAAGACAGAGTAATCTGCAGCACTAGCAGTGGCCACACTCCATTCTATGCTTGCCTCACTTGGTGCATAACAAGTTGTAGGGGAGGCACAACCAGAGGCAACTTCTGACGTTGTCTATTAAGGAAGTGGTTGGTTTTTACCTGTGAGGCTGTCAATCTCAAACAAATCTGAACTTGCATCACTCTCAGTATCATTGTAGTTTCCTGAAAAAATGTCGATTTCTTCCACTTTAGGCGCTGCCGCAGCATCCCAAGAGGGCATTGTATGCCTCTTATCAAAGGTCAAAGATCTTCTGTTATTCAATATTGGGGAACCAAACACCTCCAATGATTTCCTTGGCTTCTCTTCTTCCTTCTGCTGAAGTTTCAAATTCACCAGTTGATTTTCTAGCCCAGAATTCACTGCTGACAATGCTGAATCTGGCTTTTTGAAGCAAACATCTTTATTGCATAAGAGTTCTTCGCGAGGCTTGTTTGTTTTAGCTGAGTAATCAGCATCTAAGCCAGTGTTAGAAAGGTTTCTGTGAGGTCCTTTTCCGTGAACAACACCATAAGTAGGATTATGGCTATGATCACTGATATCAACAGAATTATTATCAGCACATGAGCATTTGCAGCCAAGACCAGCTAGGAAATTCTTCCTCTGCATCTTGCTGTTCCTGTTTCTGGAAGAGTTCCTCTGAACCCTCGGCAACAGTTTACTTTGGCTATTCCAACTTGATTCAGATCGAACGCTTGGAGTTCCATAGTGGGATTTATTGAGATTTCGGGTTTCTAGAGCTTTGCGTTCTTCATCTTTATGATAGTGGCACTGCCTTGCAGCCACGTTAGTAGCAACTCCAGGACTCTCACGATCCATTCCTCCATTGAAGTACTTATGAGCTTCAAAGACTCCAATATCTCCATCTTCTTCCTTCTTTTCTGCAACTTGAAGAAGAAGAGTCTCCACCCTATTGCTGGTAAAGGAACTACGACGAACATCCTCCCTGACTCTGCAACTACTTTCTCTTCATGCTGTTCAAGTATGAAGGGACGAAAGCATCACGTGGGTGGTGTTTCTGTTCTCAGAAGTGGAAGTTCTAATCTGATGGAGGCTGCT